CAAAAAGGACTCTTTTAAGATCTTTATTTTTGTGCAAAGTGTTTCTGAGAAAAGAGGAGAAAAAACAATAATGTAAAAACCCTTTAGATGAAATGAGCCTCACTTATAGGTTGAATAAAAATAGTTTCACATCACCCCAAACTGTGAAGAGAAACACTCGGACTCGAGGCGCCATTTATCATAAACGCTTGGTGCGTTTGTGCATTAGTCCTGCCGCAGCGGCGAAGTGTCAGGAACTGATGAATAAGTCACAGCAGTCCTTCTTAAAGCCCATCCTCTGTTCCTCTGTGTGGAGCCGTGCATTTAGTTCACAGCTTCACCTGAATGCACCGCCGCCATTATTCTCTGACATATAAAGACGGCTGAAAAGAAAAGAAAAATGGACACTTCAGGAGGAGAATGGGGCTGTATCACAGAGCACGGCATCAGAGATGCAGGTAAAATGGTTCCTCTATTTAACTAACGCCTCTGACGGCCAAACCCCTCCATCGTTTTCACACCTTTTCTGCCTGGACTCTTCATCAAAGTGCTTTGGAAGCAGAAAAGACGCCGAGTTTTTAAGGAAAACAGCCACACCTGCGAGGAAGACAGGGGGCGGGCCACGGATAAATGCTTTAAAGTTTTATTTGGTCAAAGGAAGTGTGAAAAGAAAACCTCTGACACCTTCAGATTTTAAATAAATAAATACCAGAGCTGCCCAAACTTTCTCCAACCATTATCAAAAAGTTAAAAAAAAATTTGGCAATTTATTGCCGAGTAAGAGATCGGCAAAAATGACTTAATTATTGCCGAAGTAAAAATTAATTTAATCATTAAAATATATTTTTACATAAAAAACTAAAATGTAAATAAAAATAAACTTATTTTTTAAAATTGAATACAAAAATAAATTAAATGCATTTTTTACTTGAAAATATTTTCTTTGATTTTATTTTAAAATAATTAAATTAAATTTTAATTAATTATATTTAGATTAAATACCAGAACTATAATTCATTATAATTTAATTAAATTTTATATTTATTTGTGTAAATTACATTTTAAAATTTTAATTAAATATATTTTTTATTTTAAAAATATTTCACTAAATTTTTATTTAAAAAAAAAAATTAAAAATGTCACCAAATCCCTTAGTTGATTGAATAAAAAACTTATTTTTATGATCTCTAGCATTAACTTCATATATAATTCTCATAGCTTTATGTCACAAACAGAGGTTTAATGTTGGTTTTATTTTTGTTGCATCCATACAATTAAAATTCCAGTTTTCTTAGGATTCAGCAGATATTGAATATTTCTCCAGTCCTGCAGAATCCAATGTGGATTAATAAAATCTGTCACTTTATGAGGATCTGAAAGCCGTTAGCAGCTTTAGCACAAAGGGAATCTGTGTTTCAGGCCAGTAAAGCCTGAAACACGACAATAAGGCCTTACAGCTCAGACATGCTCAGCAACCTGCTAACAACCAACCTGTTCTCTTGTCAAAATGTCCCTGGGCAAGACAACGAGCAGCACATCAATGCAGGAATGCTCAGAGGGATGCAGAAGGAGCAGCAGCTCATAAACGACGGCACATAAAGAATGTAAGGTATGAAAGGAAATGTAAAGCATTTTTTAGACCTTAAAACAAAGTTTAAAGTTTGTCCTAAACGAAAAGCTCCACTAAAAGCATTAGACCGCTCCAAGCCAAGCTGAGACGGGCTGGTAAAAGAATACTGAAACCTCTGGTGGAAAGATGTCAAAAAACGAGAAGGTTTCCTAAAAGGAGCTGCCAAGGAGAGCCGAGAGGCCCAGCGATGATCTCAGAGAGTCCCCCAATGTTGCTGTTTTCTTATCATGTAATCTATCTGAGCTTTTAAAGTGGTTTCTATTCAATCCTCTTTCTTCACCTCGGTGTCTGGATGCCAGTCAACTTCCAGCGCAGACAGTATGTGTCAGCAGGCTGCTGAGAACTGGGATCCTGTATTCCCCTGTAACAGATGGGGGCAGATAAAACACAAGTACCCCGCCCCATTACCACACAGGACAAACATCTACCATCCCTTACCGTCACCTCTCTACTTCACATTTATTTGTATGCCTGTGTGGGGAACTACAAAGGACATGTTTGGGTCTACATTGGAGATTTACTGTAAATATTTAGCAATTTTTTTATTCTAATTACTTGGACATGCAAACAATGTTTTAGTTTTTTCTAGTGTTACACTGCAAAAACAGCAAACTTTACAAAGTATTTCTAGTGGAAACATTTTACTACACTGGAAAAAAACTAAACTATGAACAAGTAACTGTTCAGGAATATATATATAGGAGCTTTTTTAAGTCATTAACTCTTGAATTAGATGCAAAAATTACTAGTTGCACTGAAAGATTGTTTCACATTTTTCCCATGAAATAAGTGAAATAATCTGCCAGTGGATCTAGGACTTTTATATTGAGTTATCATCTGTATTTTGTAGATGATCTCAAAACAGATGAGTTTCCTAAAATCCAAAGTAAATGGATCGGTAATCGTATCCTGTAAGGCGTGGGCACTTGGGGTGCACAAAGCATCTACTTTACCCATTTTCATGTTCCGCCAAACACCACTTACCTCCTACACAAAGCTAAAGGAAGACTAAACATGACAGAAGGTAAGATTTACTCTCCAGAAGCCAATCAGACAACACCCAGTCATTTTGTGCAAAGCAAAGTCCCAACATGTAAACATGTGCAGTTTACATTAGTCGTCTTTAATCTCTATGTCACCACAAAAACAAAAAGTTTTACAGTTTGTCTTCACAACCAATGTGGGGAAAAAGACACATTTGGAACATTAAAGGGAAGATATTTTCCATCTGTCACAGTTTCTGAGGAGAACCTGAAAACAGTCCTGTCATTATGCTCAAGTCACTCAGGTCTGAAAACATCTTGTTCATATCTGCAGGCGTTGGTTAAAGTGCAGCGCAGAATCAAATCATTCACGCTGCGTTTCCCCACCTAACTCCACCTTTACCTCAGGCTGCGTTCGTTCGCCGGCCCTCCAGTTGGGACTCATGCCCTTTAATTCTCATTAGCTTTGTTTACTTATGTAAGGTTACCTGGTTTTACTGGAAACCAGAGGAATTTAGGTTCTGGAAAATCTGATCAGTTTAGTTAGTGCTGTTTCTTGTAACCTTTAGAGTTACAAGAAATGGCAATGGATTGATGCTAGTAGGTTTAGCATCAGGCCACGCCTCAATGATTATTACCCACCAGTATTTTTACACTTGGCAGTCTTTGTCTCACTCGTTCAACCCACTCACTCTTTCATTTCACTCCTTCATTTCTCATCCACACTTCCAGGGTTTCACAAGCAAACATTTTCTGCTGCGATACGTCCAACTATTGCAGCAGAACTCGGTCTCGATCCAGGAGAGTTTCAAAGTTGACAAGTTTGACAGGGAAAAAATGGAGGCTAAGCTAGTTTTATCATGATGCTACGTGTTTATCAGCACACATGGGTGGGTTTCGTCCCGTTGAGACCGAACCAGGAGCTGTTCCAGGATGAGTAAGTGGAACCAGATCCTAGTTTTGGTCTGTAAGGCAGACACCCTGCCTACTTTTAAAACTAGACTGAAAACGTTTATCCTGACCCATTTCTGTACTTATGCTGCCACTTTTTCTCACTTTCTTCTTCTGCTACTCTCCAATTTGAAGCTGCGCCTGGTGTGGCGTTCTGTTTGTGCCGAGTTTCCCATCTAATGCATCTGCAAGTCAGTAGTGTGTTTCCATTAACAATAAATATGTGAAATTTGCTTAATGGGATCACAGTACTTTATAAATAAAACTCACATGTTTCAATAAAACATTTCTACGTTAGAATGAGGTGTTTTGTTGTCCATATGGACAGAAATGTATTTCACAAAACTGCAATGGAAACACGTTTTTCACACCAATTGAGTCAAATGATCAAATGCTTGCTGTTTATGTTTCTGTTTTGTTTTTTGTCATTTGAATTTTTCTTAATTTATGGAAACACCACAATTTCTATTATTTTTTACTTTAGCAAAACAAAGATTTGCACACATGTCCATCGGAAACACAGCTACTGTTTCCGTTTTCTGGCATTCGCTCAGTTTTTCAGACGCTCAGGTAACTGCCTGATAATCTCATTCATGACACACTGGATCCTTGAAAATCAATATTATGAATACTCATATATACTGGTCTGCAAGAAAAACAAAATACACTTAAGTTGACCCATCCGTCCACTTCAAAAATTCCAAATCTTACCAATTATTTTTGTTAAAAACAAGCTCCTATATCTTGCTGAAAGTTACTTGTTAGTTTTGTCTTATTTCAACTGTACAAAGATATTTGCTTTAGAAATACTTGATAAATTGTATCTGTCGTGAGCACATTGCAGTCGACGTAAGCATGAGATCATGTTACTGTCAACACGTGTGCAGGACATTGTGAAAATAGATGTTATCCATAATAACGAAATGTGAGTATTGCTTTATCTCAGGTTTGCATGCTGAAGTTCCTGGTTCCTTGTTCCGTTTGAGTTTCAGTCAAACTATTTAAGCCGCATCTTGTTATTGTCCCGCAGAAAGATAATAAAAACTCAACAGTTGGGACTTTATCTGACATTTCTAGTCTGTGGTCCCAATAGAAACGACATAGAAACAAATGTCACTACAGCAGTGCGCCTTGATATAATTCATTCTGCCGTTCAATGATCATCCGTAAGACGCAGGCTCAGATTTTCATACAACAGCATGTCTAACCTGCTCCCAGATGCAGCCGCCGTGCCTCATAAATATTCAGGATACGGCGTTTCTTATCTGATTGCTCTGGTGGAGCAGTTTATTTCTTTAAGCCTGTTACTGAGAGCTTAAAGATGCAAAGAAAGATACTAGCAATCATAAAACAAGCACTCCCCACGCAACATCACTTCAAGTGCTGATTACTTTCATTACAGGGGAGTAATTAGCCCCTGAAGGGGAAAAGGTAGCTTCAGAGATTTGATCCCATGGTGATTTTTAAAGCATTGGTTTAATCTCACAAGAGTTAGAATAAATTAAGACTTCTCACTGGGGGAAGCACTCGTTATCAGAACAGACACTTATTGGTAAAAGCAGTTCGAATCCAAGCATCCAAAACAATGCCCGTATTAATTACACACTCCCTAAATTTATCACCCAAGCACAAAATTCCTTCGTGATGAAGTCCAGGAACGGTAAAATCCAGTTAATGTGATTTGGCACCAAACTGCAGCAGAAGATCATTTCATTCCCGTGAGCTTGGCCAGCTGGAATCGGACCTCTTCCAGAAACTTCCCTAAGATGCTGTAGGTGGTCCATGTTGATTTGCTTCATGGCTTTTACCAGTGTACTCTGTGAAAATCATCACCTTCAACAGGAACAAAAATCATTTTATTCGACCAGAAAGAGGAATAAAATCAAACAATATTTACTGAAAAAACAACATATTCAGAGCAGTAATAAAGTCAAATCTGTACAAAAATAGTTTGCATGCCAGATGAAAATCATTCTTTTTCTGCAAATATATTTGAACTAGAACCCCCCAAATAACAGATTTAGCTTCCCCTGTTTAAAAAAAAAAAAAAAAACCTCCTATTAAATGTTGACATCCACACAAAGTATGTTTATGCCATAAATAAGGTCAGTTTCTGGCACCACAGCTGCTGGTATTTTACCATAAATTAGAGATGATTTTTTTTTTTTTTTTTACAGTGCATTCATATATTTTTAGCATGTTAAGCATTAGTAAGCTCAATTATTTGCCTCAAAGGATGCATCTGCACCCACTTTGATGAGTCTTTGATGACTCATTTATCTTGATTTTAATCGGTGGGTCAATTTGACCCGGAACAGTATGCATGTCTCAAGTTCAATTATAAAGATCACCCATTGAAAAAAAAAAGTAATATAAAAAAAATGACCAAAGATCAATTTCAAGGAAATTATTGTTTGTTTTTTGTGTCTAGGTTTTTTTCAGTGGACATAAAAAATGTAAATTCCATTTTTTATGTCCAAATGAGTAATTGAGTAAGTTGTCGTCATTAATCTTAATTTCTGAGAAATAAAAAAAACATAATTGCACAAACATTGATTGAAATGGTTAATATTGGAGTTAATAATCAGATACAAAAATGTTTTGGAGGAATTTTTTGTTTTCTGACACGATTGCATGATAAAACACTCCCCGGGTCCAATTGACCCACGAACACTATTGCTGTTCCTCAGAAACGAACATAACGGCTACATGACGGTGGAGCATCGTCTCCATGGTTACCAATGGTTAGACACGGACCTTCTCCATATTCCGATATTTTACGTCTTTCTAATCATACCTACTTATGAAGTATATGTACTTTAACCTTCTTACCGTGTTAAAAGTCTTTGCTGTAAATCCGTGATTTCACCGCCAGTCGTTATGACTGGCTGTATCTTTCCTCATTAAAAGTTATAAATTAAATTGATAAGTTATTGGTTTGCGTCCCTCTCTGCCTCTGACCGCGCAGCGTCCTGTGACCTGTTTTAAAGTGAAATCAACTAAATAGAAGCGATATTACAGGTGTCTGTTCTACGAGCTTTAAAGGAGCGCATTCGCTGTTTCGACCTGCGTCATGGCGGAGTGGGCGGAGTTCTAGAGAGCATGACGTCACATGCAAAGGGTCAACATATGTATTTACACTTATAGTTTTTCAGTAATTTTACTGTGTATTCTGGTAGAAACATTTCCTTGATTGTCATGTTTTTGTGCAAGAAATAAAAAATAAGTTTTTACAAATTAATTCATAATTGTCTTTATTCCAAATCAGATCCTAAAATTAAAAGGTCCTGTAGAAAATGCCTGATATTTTCTGAACCTGTGACTCTTTCCAGTTCATTCTGGGGCAGCCCTAAGTGTTCCCAGCCCAGAGGGGATATGTATGTTCACCAGGTTCTGGGTTTGCCCCAGGTCTCCTCTCAGCATGAAATACCAAGAAAACCTTCAAAGGGAGGCGTCCAAATCAGATGCCCATGCCACATCAGCTGTGGCTTCGCTCTGCGTTCTGCCTGCATGACACAGATCCTCACCTTATCTCTGATGTGGTATTTAGACCAAAAGCAGCGGGAAGCGGTGAGCTCTGTTTCACAGCTGCATTTCATGTGTTTAGAGGAGAGAAGAGGCAGTGCCATCGTTTCCATTAGAAATGTACACAAAACCTTGTCTAAAAAAATCAATTTTGTTATTGAGGAGTTTCCATTAAATAAGAAATTAAAATCATAAATAAGTTTGTTCAGGCTATAAGACACTTAAAAACATGCCATGCATTCATCTTCCAGCGACTTCCTGTTTTCGTCTTCGTCGTTTCCAACAGAAGTAACATCCTGTTGTTGGTCACATGACTCGTATGATGTAAAAAAAGTGTTTCCATTAATCAACATTTTGATGTGTAACAACAGCACTTGACAAAATGTTAAACTTCAAATGTTGACTGTGTGACGTGTCTGTGATGTAAAACACTTTGAAATAAATACATTTAAACTTGATTGATTGATTGCAGTTTTGCGAAGTATACACTAATTCTGATACAGCCGAAAAACCATCTCATCCTCGTGCAAAAATGCTATATTAAAAAAAAAGATGTAACACTATCAGCGATGATTAAGTGTTTTGTCAATAAAAGGCCTTCTGCTAATGTCATAAGGGAGAAAAAGCAATTTTAACTCGCCTTTTATTTCTCCAAGATTCAGGTCATGAAAGATAAACACTGCAAGCATGGGACAAATTATACATTAAAGCTCCTCTTTATGAGCGCTGACAGAATAAATGCTCACTGCACATGTAAGAGGAAACATAAATAAGTTGGCTTGAAGCAAATGTCAGGTTTGTGTACCCTCAACAGAGAGTCAAGTTTCACTTTTAATAAACAAAGACTGTAAAACGATGCAAGAAACAAGCAGATTCAGGGGTTTGTCGTGTTAAAGCAGAACTACAAAAGTATGTGAAGCGTGAATCTGTTGGTTTATTTATACCTAAAGATCCATGGTGCTGAGACACAGAAAAAAAATTAATCAATCTTTACCAGCCTTTTGCTTGTGCTTTTCAGACATTTTGAAAAAAATGTCTCAGATTAACTGTCTCTGGAAAACAAGGTGCATTTTCACAGAATCAGATGCAGCAAAAAACCTTAGCGGAAAAAATGAAAGACCAAAAGATGGAGATGAATGCTACCGATCAGCTCATCTGCTCATGTTTACTAGATTTTTAAGTGTTGGTTTATAATAAAGACTAAATAAAGATTTATTCAGCTGTTTAAGAATGCAAAGTCAGTGTAAGACGCAGCTTTAAGGAGGAACAGAGCAGCAGGTGATTCCAGCGATCAAACCTCTGAAACAGACATAAACCGCTGAAGTGTTTATGCAAAACAATGTTTTTCTGCAAATGAGGCCCAGCAACCTGTTTATATTCTCAAGACGCTCGTTTCACACCATCACAGCAGAGAGGTGCTCATCATTGCTGTTTTTCAGATTCAAACCGTTTCTAAACTTCCTGTTGACTGCAGCTCAAACGAAAAGCCTCACTTTGCTTCTTCTGCTCCCCTGCAAAACAAAATAAAGCTTGATTAGTTTTTATTCTTTCTAATCTTACGCCTCATTGTGCTGCTTTTCCAGGCTCTCTGTCGCAGCTAAACCTTTTAATATTGTGTTTAATATTTGCTGATTTCATGGACAGGCCACTTTAAGAGATGCATAAGAGTAAATCAATAAGCTAATCACAAAATGCTACATTATGATTCAGACTTTAGATTTGGAGTTTTCTGTATCTTGCTAAATATTTAACAACCATACATATTGGTTCAGTTTATATTTATACTGTGCTCTTTATAGTTAGTTCATTTCATGAAATCTGGTTTGAATGCTCTCATGTCTCCACCATAATAACTTTATAGTCATTTCTTAGTGAACATCTTTGATTTTCTTTCTTGTTTGATTCAACATACTTTGACAGTCTGAAACACAGTCCTAATGAAAAAACTGGACATTTGTGGCTGTAATGTGACAGAATATGAGATTTAAGTGGACTATGAATATTTATATGGAATCCTGAAGGTTGTGGAGAAATAAAAAAGTCAAACTAAGCTGTTGCTATGGATACCAAATCATTACCGGTTTAGTAAAAGTGAGAAACCTCATTTCAAACACACCTCTTCCTGTGATTAACTGTAACAGGAAGTCGTCTTAATGCCAATCTGACCAATTTAAGTCCAGCACTCCCGTGGCAAAAATGGCTAATTTTTATCAGCACCAGCTCATGGAGGAAATATTTTCCCGTTTAGCTGCTAAATGCTCCACTAAGTTCAGCAGCTGCTCGTTAACGGTGTTGCTGTTTGGTGCTTTGAGGCCAGTGAGTTTATTATAGCTGTTCTTAAAGCACTGCATCACATAAATTAGCCCTGCAGGAAGAACCTGATTTGGCAACAACAGCCCAGTGTAAACATGATGCTCATTTCTTTAATATTTCACTAAGCACAATAATCAGAGCACAAAAAGTAGGTGAAAGTTTTACCTTTAACTTACAGTAAGATTATCAGTTCAAATTAGGAAATAGATTATATAGTAAAGATTTTAGAGATGGTTTCCATCATCAGCTGAATATAAATTTTCAATCAATGCAAATAAAAGTTAGACTTTTGTAAACTCAACATGGGGAATAACATCTATGTGTAGGTGCTCTATACATGGGCTGCTACAGTAGTTTTGAAAAAACTTTCTGGCAAAAAATTTTTTTGCAAAAGACAAAAGTTTAAAATGTCACAAAGGTTTTCAAATTATGACCGTAAAGCTAAATGCTCAGGATGAGAAACATTATTAAGTTTCTGATGTGTAAGAGAGATTCAGGAACTTCCATATTTTCTAACCTTTTTCTTCTGTAAATGATCATAACGCAACATAACTGGTTCCAATTAGACACATTATCAGCCTAATCACATATCCTGTATTCAATAAAAGCCTCTGGCATTTAAAATGTCTGCTCTCAATTTTAAACTTTTAAAAAGTTCTGTTGAATTATGATGATACAAATAATTGTTTTCTTCTTTCTAACCATAAATATCTCAGCTTGATTAGAAAATAAAATCAATTTTACTGACACATTTAATACTATTTCTCTTACAAGTTTTAAGTAGTTTGCTTTTTGAAATAGGAGAAAAAACTGGTATGAATAAACTATTTTAAAACATGACTTCAGCATTAGGCTTATGGAAAGTTTCCAGGGCTTTAACAATTAAAGCTTTTGCTATTTTCAGCTTTTTGGCAACACTGCTGGTTTAAAAAAAAACAGGCAGCCACATGCAGGCTCGCTGCTGAGGCAGTTAATCTGGCTAATTAATTAGCTCG